ATTCTCAGTAAAGCTAGAACAGAAAGTCATAGTTCTCTCCGCCATCCTCTACGCAATAGGTTCCTGCAATCGGTGGATTTTGCCCTTATTCGTCAATTGCGCGTTTTTTCATTGGCTTAAGTGGGAGTGCGAAGAGTGCGTCTGGCCTTGAAGAATCTATTCTGACGGCATGTGGGCGTATTTCTTACCATACTAAATTTAACGTACTTACATCTACCATGACGCGATAGGGGTCTTGGTCTGGGAAATTGGTAGCGATCACGAACCAGCAGCTGGCTACGGGGACATCGGGCAATCAGGCAACCAATGTCTGAGTTAAACTACCGAAGAGGGGGGAGGACGTTGATATAATAGGTGTTGCATTTGTGTGCTGTGCCATAGCTACAACATCAAAAATTGTCCTTCATACGCCACAGGGCTCATTACCACCTGAGAAGATGGTGGTGACATGCACGCGAATGGAGACTTGTAGAGCATTTACCTCACTCATTCCCTCCATCTGTCCCTTCATTTAGCGAAAACAAGGCAACAAAGGGGCTGACTTTGGACGTGGTTGAGAATAGCGTTGCAGAGGGCTCCGTCTGTGTGTACCGTGCCCATTTTTGCAAATTTGGCAGATTCTGTGTTGCGTAGATGTCACGTGTTACGCCTAAGCTCGGGTAGTCACATGCGCTGTCTATCGGTGTTAAATGAATGTGGAGGGGGGGTGATGATGTGTCGCGTTTCAACGCGTCAGTCACTGCGCCTAATTTCCCCAGTTGGTTCGACTGGGACAATTCAGCAGCACATGGACGGTGAGGGGAGTTTGAAGTCATTTTTGGTTTCCTTGCAGCAAAATGCGACTTGAAACTGTCATGGAATGAAATGCCGAGGATCAAGTGGTTTCCTAGTGTGATCGCTATGGCTTTTTCCTTTAGGTAAGAGCCGGAATCCGCCGATCGGAACCTGTTATGCATGAAGTTAGTGTGTGGAACGCGCATAGGGGTTACCTGTTTCATCAGCCGTTCCTATACCTGGCTTCTAATCTAGTGTGTTTTTGGCCTAGCGTGAGGCGGCTTGTGCAAATATGGTTCAATAAAAACAGCATATCACAGTCGTGGAGGCGGGAGTGGTCTCCTGTGACGGTCAACCAATGCGTATAAATGCGACTTGCGCTGCTCTGTTAATTGGTGTTTGCCGTGCGTGTTCACGTGATCCACGACCTAATACAATGTCCGAATATACTGAGGCATGGTTGACGGTTAGGCTGAACAAATGGGTTTTGACCCGGGACTCCGGCCACGCGGCGATGGATTCGGAGATTGTTGACCAGTCCAATACGTCGTTTAAATGTGGGGTTTCAGTGGGACCATGTGAATACAGTTCCCATTGTGTCGGTTTTTCTTGTCCCGATGGCCTTCACATTACACGGGAAGAGGAAAATGTGGCACTGCAACGTGGAGTGTGGTCGGATGGACTGTGGTGGTGGTGTTTGACGTTAGCTGGTCCTGCTGGGATGCAAACTGGTGCGACGATGCTTGACGAAATTAATACGGCCCCTGAACGTCAAATGACGCCG